TATAAGCCAATAAGCTGACTTAAAAGTTTAGGCCAATAAGCCTAAGCCTAAACAAAGAGGGTATTATACAACTTGCTTTTATAAACTACTAGTATTAAGTTTTTTAAAAAAATATTTAATTTTTCATAATTTATAGAGATAATCCACGACAATAATTCGGGGCATGATTAATCCGGCCTGTTTCGTGCTCTAAATTCGTCATAGGACTTTTAGAGCTAGCCATCCAGCCCCTTGTACAGCTGTGCTAGCTAGCTAGCTTCACTTATTAGATGCATTGCGAGTATATGTTCATTTCCACTCCTCTGCAGGTACAGCCTGATGACTAAATGACAAGAGGTTAGTTTACCAAATGAGAATGACCACCCCTGTAAACTGAAGCATGTGCGGTTAGTAGGTTCACGAGTGCGCGGCGCCAAGCTGCATCGCTCTTACCCTCATTTTATATTTCTAGATCATGTAATCTTAATGTTTTAAGATAATAGAAGCAACTTCCCAATTTGTCTTAATCATAGGGATATGCTCATAAGCGTAAAATAGTTTAATTGTGTACAATAGAATTCAAATCCTAGTAGTATATTTATATTAAGTTATACACCCATAATTTCATTATCATAATAAAGGCGCTTCTGTCCACAAGACCATACTCCCTCCGTTAAAAAAACATAACCTAGCCGAGGATGTGATATCTCTTAGTACAATGAATTTAGATAGCCTTTTGTTTAAATTCGTTGTTCTAAAAAAGATCACATCCCTTTTAGGTTTTTTTTTTTTGACAGAAGTGCGACTGATTTGCACATGCATATATACAACTGGATAAGTGTCCAAGAAATTGACGGTAGATGGTAGAGATTATACAAACTCGCTAAGTTTTTTTAAAGAAAAATTGAAAATACCGCTTACGTGCAATCATGTTTTCTGTTAAATTTGACGAGCGTTTCTACTATAGTACTGATTAAGTGCGTGGGAATGTGGAACTATTGATTATTAATTAGGTTGATATATACTACATCCATGCTAAGCCATGGCCAGGCATGGAAACACAAAAGTTTAAGGCTATATTTAGATTCCAATTTTTTTCTTCAAACTTTCAATTTTTTTTTCACATCGAACTTTTCTACCTATACAAACTTTTAACTTTTTCGTTACATCGTTCTAATTTATTTAAATATCTAATTTTAGCGTGAAACTAAACACAGCCTAATGCATATAATGACGTGGATTTGATTAAGTAGAATGGACGGACCATATATATCACCATATCGGCAATTAGGTAAGTACGGGTAAGCCGTCCTACTCTGATTGAGATCGTGGGCCTACGAACGTGCGAATATACAGAATTAATGGTGTGCGGCCGCTATCTCTGCTTGCCTCTGTAGACGCGGGTTCACAGCTTGACATCGATCGATAATAGCTGGCGATTGGCTTCTCACTGACTAGATGATACATCGTGCTTTCCTACGAGATACGTGGATGAATATATATTATACATTATATTAATGATATATGTACATACTTAAATAACATGAAAATAATATGGAGATAATTATTTGACATTGATTACATATTGAGTTTTAAAAATACAACAAATTTGTAAATGATATATTATATTTGCATGATATTTAAAATACTTTAGATAATAATTGCTATTAGGTAATGATGTGGCACACTTGCATGTGATTTAAAATACTTTATATAATAATTACTAGTGTATGATAGTGTAGTATACTTACATACTGAGTTTTAGAAATTAGTGTGCATCAACTAAAATAGGATTCGAAATGTCCATAACTCTCCCGAGCGTCCAGATTAATAATTAAATACAGTGTCAGCAGTCTCGGTCGCGCGCGTAGCGTGTTTGTACATAGCTCTCTGTTAATTACTGGTAGGTCGTCATGTGCTGTAACAAAAAAGGCAGACAATATAAATACCACAATGGTTACCGATCAAACCATCTATAGTAACCGAATCGTGTATTCTAATTAATCTGATGTGGATATAGCAACCTAGAATCGAATATAACACATCCTAAACTATAAATTTAGACAGAAGTTCTATCCGATTTATAGTCTTATAATTAGAATGTATCCTATTAAATTCTAAATTACTATATTATAACACGGATGAAGTAGCTAACTTTTCAAGTTAATAGCACTCATCCGGTTACCCCTCCACGGTAGCGGGTCGAATCTAACTACGGTCCATCGACACGACACCACACACGTCGTGGTGTGTATCATCACAGGTTTTCTCTTGTCTTGTCTACCGGCTATTCGCGACCCGCTGTCCCACCATCTGAGGTCATACTCCCTATGCACCCCTCCGCGCTGTAATAAGTTTATTTTTAAAGTGTTCTTTTAAATTAGAGTTTATAAAAGTAGAGAATAATTATATTGGAAGTAAATAAATTAAAATAGTTATATTATGATTTATTATTAATAAAATAAAGGTATTTTTGTTTTTCCGGTTTCATATTAGCGAGATGGTAAAAAATATATTTATTTTAGCACGAAAAGTGTCCTAGCGAGGGAGCAGCTAGGGAGACCCGCGTAGACCAGAAAAGCGGCTGGCCACCAACGTGCGTAAAACATCGTCCGCGAAAACTTTTTGCAGTAGTTAACAAATCTCCTCGCTGACATTAACAACTCTCCTCGTTGACATCACGTACATATACAACTCGATCGCGAGAGGTTCCCTTCCCGATCGGCGCGATTGACTGGACTTTCTCCAACGGACGCGTACGTCACCCCTGACGTCGTGTGCAGCTAATTAACCTGATAGGCTGCCACGAGATGTTGCTGGTAATATGAAAGGAGCACGGCTAATAGTACGAACCCCTGGCCCCTTTTATCCGCGGGGTCAGGAAGACGACGGATATAAAACCTAAATAACCCCAATTACGTTGGGGAGGCTCATGGGCGATCGCCAGCAATCGGTTTGCCCCCCTCCCCCTATACTCCTCCCTCTTCTCCCCCTTCCTCTTCCCCCTTCTTCTCTTTCTACCACAGTACACACAATTTTTTTTAAAAAAATAAAAGTTAGAAAATTTTATGTATAGAAATACTATATATAAAAAATTTGAATTCAAATTTGAATCGGGTATGTAAACTTTTGACTTATAAACTTTAGATGTATAGGAATACTATATATGGAAAATATTTGAATTCAAATTCAAATTTGAATCAGATATAATTCAAATTCAAATTTGAATCGGGTATGTAAACTTTTGACTTATAAACTTTGGATCTATAAACTTTAAAACTTTAGGTGTATAAACTTTAGATGTATAGAAATACTATATATAGAAAATATTTGAATTCAAATTCAAAATTCAAATTTGAATCAGATATAATTCAAATTCAAATTTGAAATGGGTATATAAACTTTTGACTTATAAACTTTAGGTGTATAAACTTTAGATGTATAGAAATACTATATATAAAAAAATATTTGAATTCAAATTTAAATCGGATATATAAACTTTTGACTTATAAACTTTTGGTCTCTAAACTTTAGATGTGTAAACTTGAGGTGTATAAACTTTAGGTGTATAAATTTACTAAAATAGAAAAGTAATGCGGTGCCAAAAAAGTAAACCAGGTGGAGGGGTGGAGGGAGGGAGGGGGGAGGGGATCGGATCGCTGCCCCATCCCTAAGGCGATCGATCACCGAACAGCGTTTCCGAATTACGTTGCCAGAACGGTGATTTCATATATGGTGAAGAAAAACCCCAATGACGTGGCAGTGGAGGCCAGCAGCCCGCCACCCACCAGGGTTGACCTTAGATTCTTATGCTTATGTGAATGAGCTTATACAATACTCCATCCGTCTTAGAATATAAAAAAGTTTTGGTTAGATGGCAGGGACGGATCTACATTATAAGGGCCTGTGTCAGGCGACACCGATGACTTTTGGCAAAACTGTAACATCCCGGCCTAGGGCTTAATAGGATTAATATATCAACAAGTTACAACTTCTTTTCCGGAAGCCAATCTCCAAAGAACTCCAGGGTTAAGCGTGCTTGGCCTGGAGCAATTTGGGATGGGTGACCGACCAGGAAATTCTTCCCGGGTGCACACGAGTGAGGACAAAGTGTGCAGAAAAGACATGTGTTGGTCTGTGAGGGTAGTTTATGACCAATGAAAGCTGCCAGATGTAAGTGGGCCCGGCCTGGGAGAGGCGGGTCGTTACAAAAACCTATAGCAAAACTACTTATTCATACATTATAACACCATAATCTAAGCATAATTAGTATACTATGACACAGATTGACACGTTATGACACCAACGAATCAATTTTATTCATACATTATAACACCATAATCTAAGCATAATTAGTATACTAGACACAGATACATGCTAATACTATGAATTTAGCCCGGCCTGGGAGAGGCGGGTCGTTACAAAAACCTATAGCAAAACTACTTATTCATACATTATAACACCATAATCTAAGCATAATTAGTATACTATGACACAGATAGACACGTTATGACACCAACGAATCAATTTTATTCATACATTATAACACCATAATCTAAGCATAATTAGTATACTAGACACAGATAGACACGTTATGACACCAACGAATCAATTTTCTGGATCCGCCACTGTTGGATGGGATACATGCTAATACTATGAATTTAGACAGGCAATATGTCTAGATTCGTAGTACTAACAAGTGTTGGATGAAGATTAATATTTTCGTGGCACGCTTTTCAAACTGCTAAACGGTGTATTTCGTGCGAAAACTTTCTATATAAAAGTTGCTCTAAAATATCATATCAATCTATTTTCAGCTTTGTAATAATTAAAACTCAATCAATCATACGTTAATACCACCTCGTTTTGCGTAAAAAAACTTAATCTTCATCTTCACCTTTAGGAGAAAAGAACACTACCTAAGATGTATCTCATCCAATGAAAAATATTATATTTTGAAATGGAGAGAGTAATAGTTTTACGATGTTTCTTTTTTATTTTGTATATCAGTTATCACACACTAAAACCTAATAGATGTTTCTTTTTTATTTTGTATATCAGTTATCACACACTAAAACCTAATAGGTGCTGATTGCGAACATCACATAGGTATTGGATTTCCCAACCGAAACCCCTCAAATGGCACTGATGAGGAGTAACCAAAGTTCAGTTTAGAAACTAGCACCTTTGAGGTTCCACGAATGCGGAAAAAAAAAACGCTGGCTCGATGCATCGGCTTAAATTAAGTTGCTCCCTATCACCCCCATACCACCATCGATTTATCCAACAACATCCTCCAAATCACAAAACACAAATCACCCATCAATCCATCTAACAACAACATCCCCTGCACAAAATCACATAGCACAAATCACAAAAATTTCAACCGGATATCCATCAACAATTGCACATTATAGAATCAAGCATTCATCAAAAACCAAATCAAAGGAGGTGCAGTCACTCACTGCAGACGAGAACTCCGCCTGCCGCCATCGCTCATTGGGGCGCCGAGGTTGCCATTGCTGCCTCCATGTGCGAGAGCCATCGACGCCACTGGATCCATCTGCGGGAGACATCGCCGGATCCGCTCATGGGAGCCCATGCTTGTCGTCATCTGAACCAATGGATCCGGCCACGGGAGCCATCGTCGTTGCAACTGACAAATCCGAGCGCGGGAGCCACCGCCGCCGCAGCCTATGGATCTGCACAGTCTCCGCCGTCGCCACCGACAGATCTGCCCATGGGAGCCATCGTTGTCCCAGCTAGCAGAGCAGCCCGCCGGAGTCACCACCGTTGAGGGGGAGGATGCCACGATGCCGCAGCGGTGGAGAGGGGAGTAGGAGGGGCTGCGGGTGGCGGTGGTATAGAGACAGAGAGGATATGGAGGGTGTGGGAAAGAGACGGAGAGTAGATCGAAGTAAAATAATAAACATGGGACATGTGGAATGGGAGAGAGGCTCGAGCTCAGCGGATTATTTCTTCCACCCCGTTCGGCTCAACGTTGTTTTCTCGATATGTGTCAGTTTAATAAAAAAAACGCACCGGTGGCTATTTCATAGGTACCAGTTAAATTGTGTGATTGAAAAAACATGCACTGAAACTTATATTTGGCGGTTTTTTATTAAACAACACCAATAATGTGTTGTAAGTGCCGATTTTAGTTTAGACTCATATGAGAGATTAGAAGGATGGGGAGAAAGATCACATGTGCCGGTTTTATATTAATCGACGTCTCATATCACTTTTTTTATAGTGAAAATTTCTTTAAAAATTAAATAAATCTATTTTATTCATTTATAATAAAAAATACTTAATTAATTATACCCTATCCCTCGTCTTGTTTTAAGTGACGGTGAAAAGCTAAAGCAACTTGCACATTAGAACTAAGCTCAAGTATTTGAGTGAAGCCATGGATACAAGTTGTTCTAACCGATGACATCTACACCCTTCATCTAAAATAAATCAAATCTTAATGTCTAGATTAGAACTTGTCTAGATTCATAAGAAAAACTAATTTATTTTGTGATAGAAGGAGTATGCCAATATAAAAGGCATGTGTTTTATACTCCTCCGTCCCATTTTAAGTGCAAACATAAGTTTTCACGCTCAACTTTGATCGTCCGTCTTATTTGAAATTTTTTTACAATTAGTATTTTTATTGTTATGAGATGATAAAACATGAATAATATTTTATTCGTTACTTATGTTTTTAATTTTTTTCAAAAATTTTTCAAATAAGACAGGCATTTAAAGTTGTGCACGGAAAATCATGGCTGCATTTAAAATGGGACATACGAAGTATTAATTTGTCCTAATTAAACTGACTGCATATATTCCAAAACACAAGTGAATTTGTCAATGTAATCATTCGTATTTTAGGACAAATATACAATTAAAGTTTAACTAAATTTGTAGAATAACATGATCAACATCTATAATACCTTATTAGGCTACGATCTTCACTTATTCCTCACAAAAAAAAAACTCTTTCCACTACAATAGCATCTAGAGGAAATCCCTGTTCTAGCCAGCTCTAAGCAATATATACTACTACCAGCTGTATCATATATTAATCATCCACATAACTCCCTTCTGAATTTTCATACCCCATCTTAGTGGAGTAACATGCATCTATGACCTTCGCCTATATAAAAAAAATGTAAGTACAAAGAAACAAAAACGCTTCCCAAAAAAAAAAGCACAGGACTACACCTTTTTGTCCCCATTTTTTTTGTAATGATCCTTCCGAACATTTTCTCCATAGACCATTTGGAAATAGCTGGCGCAGTGATATTTTCTATTCGTCGTCCAAACCCTCCTCTCCGTCTCATCTCTCCCTGCGTGCGGCGGTGTGTGTATGTGGCCAACCCAATAAATACCCGCGAAAGGGTTGAGGCGTTGAGCCGCGAGCTACGACTCAGGAATCCGGCGCCGCAGGCCGAGGCGATCGAGCCGGGCGTATCTATCTTGTACACACAGTAAAGCTGCCAGCAATGGACGCGGCGGCGAACGGCGGCAGGGATGGCAAGGAGAAGAAGGCGAAGAACGGCAGGGACGGCGAGGACAAGAAGAAGGAGGAGGACGGCGACGCCGGGAAGAAGGTGTCGTTCACGGGGCTGTTCCGGTACGCCGACGGCACGGACCTGCTGCTGATGGCGGTCGGCACGGTGGCGGCGCTCGCCAACGGGGTGTCGCAGCCGCTCATGACCGTCATCTTCGGCCAGGTCATCAACGCCTTCGGCGAGGCCACCAACGGCGACGTCCTCCACCGCGTCAACCAGGTGAGCCTGCCTGCCTCCCCGCCACAGCTAGCGCCGCCCGTCCGGCCGTGATCCGCGCGCGGCTAACTTTCCGGTCGATTAATCCTCTCGCCGTCGATGTGGAAGGAAACGCGCGCCGTGGATTAGCGGCGTGCTCGATCGAGCTTTGGCCAATTCAATCAATTCCACTCCCTTTCATTTCATTCATTTTGCGGTCTTTGTCTTTTTAGATGTGGGTTTGATCTTGAGAAAGCTCCGGTGAAATTTGTTGATGTTTTGGAGCTCGGAGAACGATGTGCTCGTATCTTGACTTTTGGCGGTATTAACTCCTCGTCGATTTTGCCTTCGGGGTTTTTTTTTTTCAGTCGTCTTCTCGACTCATTTCTTTCCTTTGCTTTGCTTCTTGAGAAAGGAAAAAAAGAGAGTATTCGCTTGTGGAATCAATTCTTCCGACAAGTTGGGATAATTCTTCGATCTATGGAACTTAAACCAAACAGCCTCTCGTACCGCGATATTCTTTTTTCAACTAAATATTGTTGCATTTTATTTTCTGGGATAGTACTTTTCTATATTTCTTCTCTCAATCTCTCTCTTCTTTTTTTTAAAGATTCTCACGTCTATTTATTAAGGATAATGAATTTGTTTATTTTTCTCCCAAAATATTCAGTGGTATTGTAGCTTGTTTCTCGTTCACCTGGGAGCTGGCTTTTATACCGGCAAACTTTACAGTGTGCAGCTTTCAGTTAGCTATGTTTTTGTAGTAATTGTTCAATAAAGTAAATATGTTATGCCAAATGATTGCAACTTGTAATAATAAGTTAATATTCCAACAAGAGACAACAGAAGAGTTAACAGAGTATCAATTTTTTTTTTGGAGCAAGAAGGATCAAAGTCCTTCCCATTTCCAGTAAAGAAATGTCATATAGGATAACAGAGTATCAATCAATGTAATGGTTGGAATCTTTTTCCTATCAAGAGGTCAGAGATCGACACGTTATATTTTTTAATCTTTTTTGAATGAGTGGTGATGATACACACTGTCAAATTTGTCGGTTCGCCGTTTTTTATCACCGCCAGTGTGTCATATTACAGAAAACTTCTTTCCATTAACATTCAGCTTGCAGTTAACTACTCCTAGTGCATTATGAATTCGTTACCTTTACGGTTACACGTTATTAAAGGTAGTGATGACATGAATACACTTTTCACTTTGGTGTCATTTTCTTTCAATTTCTCTAGGCGGTTCTCAACTTTGTCTACCTGGGCATCGCGACAGCGGTTGTTTCATTTCTTCGTAAGTAATAGAATTTACTGTTCTGTTGGTATGTGTATGCACTTGGCACACTGCACATGCGTCAACTGTTGCTGCTAGTTATGGATTATCATTAGTAAATTAGTCATGATTAAGAGAACGGTGAGAGCATATGCTTAGCAAGCTGGCAACTTATCTAATACTACTACTCCATATCATCCTTTTGCCAATATTGGCGTTTCAAACCTGCACGCTGCCATCAATGCAGAGTCAAAGTTTGACTTTTGGTAATATGAGTTCAAAGTTCAAACAATTCTCTTTATTAATGCTATCACAGTCCACAAAAGGTCACTCACATAATTTTTAAGATTGTGAATCGAATATTCCTGTTAAACCTATCCTCTTACTATTGAATAGGAGATACAGAGCACACATGTTTTACTTTTCCCTTTCGAAAGTGGAAAATGAATAAGCATATGTCAAACTGCACATTAAAAAACGGTACTACTACTTTTGATTTAGCAAACTAAACTGATTAGAAAAAATGAAACATAATTCTACATGTTCAAGGCATATGGCGCTCACATCACTGTAAATAACCAATGCCAATTTGATGTCTGTGCAGAGGTGGCGTGCTGGACAATGACTGGAGAACGGCAGGCGACACGCATTCGATCTCTATACCTCAAATCTGTCCTGAGACAGGATATAGCATTCTTTGATGTAGAAATGACAACTGGGCAGATAGTTTCAAGAATGTCCGGTGACACTGTGTTAGTTCAGGATGCCATTGGTGAGAAGGTAATCACCTTCTCTCAAGTTCAACAGAATTGTCAACATATAACTTTATTATATGAAGAACAATAGCACTAACTGACATACTACAACATAAATATTTTTTTCCTGTTGTGATGAAAAATTCTGCAGGTTGGCAAGTTTCTACAACTTGTGGCTACCTTCGCCGGTGGTTTCGTTGTAGCATTTGTGAAAGGTTGGCTTCTATCCCTTGTCATGTTGGCCTGCATCCCTCCTGTTGTCATTGCTGGTGGAGCTGTATCGAAGATGCTAGCAAAAATCTCTAGCAAGGGTCAAGCATCATATAGCGATGCAGCGAATGTTGTTGAACAGACAATTGGAGCCATAAAAACTGTAAGTTCATTTGTTAGAATAATTTCACTCCCTCTACCTCCATCTGAAATGGCATGAACTCACCAGTTTTGTGTGGTTCCTATCTGAAAACAGGTTGTTTCCTTCAACGGTGAAAAGCAGGCTGTTGCATCGTACAATAAACTCATAAACAAGGCATACAAGGCAGCTGTTGAGGAAGGACTTACGAACGGTTTTGGCATGGGCTCCGTTTTCTTCATATTTTTCTCCAGCTATGGTTTAGCTATATGGTATGGCGGCAAGTTGGTAGTCAGCAAAGGATACTCAGGAGGAGACATCATAAATATCTTGTTTGCTGTCATGACTGGGGCAATGTGAGTTCTTAATTTATTATGATATTTTAATTTTAACGAATGGAGGTAAAAATTTCCATTTCCTTGTGGCAGGTCTTTAGGGAATGCGACCCCATGTATGGCAGCCTTTGCAGAAGGGCAATCTGCAGCTTATAGATTGTTCAAAACAATCAAGAGAAAACCACAGATTGATCCTGATGACATAACTGGGAAACAGTTGGAGGACATCAGGGGTGATGTGGAATTGAAGGATGTGTACTTCAGCTACCCAGCAAGGCCTGAGCAACTGATATTTGATGGATTTTCATTGCATGTTTCTAGTGGCACGACAATGGCTATAGTTGGGGAGAGTGGAAGCGGCAAGTCCACTGTTATTAGTCTTGTCGAAAGATTCTATGATCCACAGGCTGGTGAGGTTTTGATTGATGGGATTAACATCAAGAGCTTGAGGCTTAATTGGATAAGAGGGAAGATTGGTCTTGTCAGCCAAGAGCCATTGCTCTTTATGACCTCCATTAAAGATAATATAACATACGGCAAAGAGGATGCAACAATTGAAGAGATTAGGAGAGCAGCTGAGCTTGCTAATGCAGCAAATTTTATTGACAAATTACCTGATGTATGTGATAACTCCAATAAATTAACCTGCATGTCTAAGTTTTTTTTTTTGTTATCAGATCTGGGTCTAATGTTTTCTCTTATCTTGTACCAGGGCTATGATACAATGGTTGGTCAACGTGGCGCACAGCTCTCAGGGGGACAAAAGCAAAGAATTGCTATTGCTAGAGCAATACTTAAAAACCCCAAAATCCTTCTGTTAGATGAGGCTACTAGCGCATTGGATGTGGAATCAGAGAGGATAGTTCAAGAGGCACTGAACAGGATCATGGTGGACAGAACCACACTTGTGGTTGCTCATCGCTTGACCACAGTGAGGAATGCTGATTGTATATCAGTTGTTCAACAAGGAAAGATAGTTGAGCAAGGTTAGGATCCCCTTGCCACTGTTCATTTTGTATTGATTGTGAGTTATTCAGCTTAATTTAACTGCAGTGATCAATTTCTTACACGAATACTTGCATAGGTCCCCATGATGAATTGGTAATGAACCCCAATGGTGTTTATTCGCAACTCATTAGGCTACAAGAAACCCACGAAGAAGAAGAGAAGAAATTAGACCATCACATATCTGATTCAAGGTCTAAAAGTAGAAGTTTGTCATTCAAGCGATCAATTAGCAGGGATTCTGCAGGAAATAGTAGCAGGCATTCTCTAGCCCTTCCCTTTGGCTTGCCTGGCTCAGTTGAATTGCTTGAAGGCAATGATTCGACTGTGGGGGAACAGACAGAGCAGGGTGGTGATGGTGAGGTCCAACAGAAAGCTCCTATTGGACGACTGGCTAGACTAAACAAGCCAGAGGTACCGATACTTTTGTTAGCAACACTGGCTGCAGGAGTTCATGGAGTGCTTTTCCCAATGTTTGGAGTAATGATTTCCAATGCCATCAAAACTTTCTTTGAGCCAGCAGACAAACTAAAAAAGGATGCTAGCTTTTGGGGTTTGATGTGTGTTGTCCTGGGTATAATTTCAATAATATCAATACCGGTGGAGTACTTTATGTTTGGAATAGCTGGAGGTAAACTTGTAGAGCGTGTCCGTGCCTTGTCATTCCGGAGTATTATTCACCAAGAAGTTGCTTGGTTTGATGATCCTAGGAATTCCAGGTTGGTTGCCCATTCTTTATTGGTTGTTTTCTCTTCCTCCTAAATATCAAGGAATTTTACACATTGGGAACTGATGATGAAATTTCATCCTACAGTGGAGCGCTTGGTGCAAGATTATCAGTAGATGCTTTGAATGTCCGGCGTTTAGTTGGAGACAATCTTGCATTGGCAGTTCAGGTCGTCTCAACACTTATCACAGGAATTGTCATAGCGATGATAGCGGACTGGAAGCTCACTTTGATCATCCTTTGTGTGATTCCACTTGTGGGTCTTCAAGGTTATGCTCAAGTTAAGTTCCTGAAGGGGTTCAGTGAAGATGCCAAGGTAATCCATCAAAGGGTTGTTCTTCTTCTTGTGATAGATTGTTTTGCAAATAACTTCTGAAACTAAATATTACTCATATTTTTATTAATTATATAAAGCTAAGATTATGATCCTATTAAGTTCAAGAAGTATGATTGAGTTTCTAAATTTCATGACGAATAATGAGAAACAACATTCACTCTAGATACATTTTTCACAACTTGCTTAAATTGTGACAATGAATTCCTGGTTTGGCAGATGTTGTATGAAGATGCAAGTCAAGTGGCTACTGATGCAGTAAGCAGCATCAGGACTGTAGCTTCCTTTTGTTCTGAGAAAAGAGTGATGACAATGTATGATAATAAATGTGAAGCTTCGAAGAATCAAGGAGTTAGAACAGGAATGGTTGGAGGCCTTGGTTTTGGTTTCTCATTCTTGATGTTGTACCTAACATATGGTCTCTGTTTCTATGTCGGAGCACAATTCGTACGCCACAATAAAACTACTTTTGGGGACGTTTTCAAGGTTAGTAAATGCAAAACTTTAATATTAAACTTTTTACCCTTCAGAGTTTTCCTCTTTTTAAACTCATAATCCCTCCATAAACAAGAGATCTGCTTTTACGGGGGTGATTTGACATAGTTAGTCATGTTTTGCAGGTTTTCTTTGCACTGGTGTTGGCAACTATTGGAATATCTCAAACAAGTGCGATGGCTTCTGATTCTACAAAGGCCAAGGATTCAGCTATCTCCATATTTGCTTTGCTAGACCGCAAGTCACAAATTGACTCGAGTAGTGATGAGGGTAGGACATTGGCCAACGTCAAGGGAAACATTGATTTCCGACATGTCAGCTTCAAGTATCCAACCCGCCCAGATGTTCAGATCTTCAGTGATTTTACTCTTCACATACCCTCTGGCAAGGTTATCCAATTTATATGCTTGTTGCATAGTTATATTTTCTGCATTAACATATCCAGCAACTTACTATATGGATTTATGCAGACCGTTGCACTTGTTGGAGAGAGTGGTAGCGGAAAGTCCACAGCAATCGCTTTGCTAGAGCGATTCTACAATCCCGAGTCAGGAACCATCTTGTTGGATGAAGTAGAAATCAAGAACTTAAAGGTCAATTGGTTGAGGGATCAGATGGGGTTGGTCGGCCAAGAGCCTGTGCTCTTTAATGACACAATCCGTGCTAACATAGCCTACGGGAAGCATGGGGATGTCACTGAGGAGGAGCTCATCAAAGCTGCAAAGGCATCCAATGCACATGAGTTCATATCGAGCCTTCCCCAAGGATATGATACCACCGTGGGGGAGAGAGGGGTGCAGCTATCTGGTGGCCAGAAACAGCGGGTGGCTATTGCGAGGGCCATATTGAAAGATCCAAAGATACTACTTCTAGATGAGGCAACGAGTGCCTTGGATGCTGAATCTGAGCGCATTGTGCAGGATGCGTTAGATAATGTGATGGTTGGCAGGACTACGATTATTGTGGCGCACCGCCTCTCGACGATCAAAGGTGCTGATATCATTGCAGTTCTGAAGGATGGTGCGATAGCGGAGAAAGGAAGGCATGAGGCATTGATGAACATCAAAGATGGTGTCTATGCTTCACTTGTTGAACTCCGTTCAGGCTCATCATAATACTCAGGATAAGATTTTTGTTTTTTATTTACCCTCTCTGGGGATGTAATATATCTTCCTTGACCCTTTTTTGTTTTACAATTGAGGGTTGTAGTAGTATTAATTATTTGGATTTTAAAGTGGGATTTGAGAAGGTGCTCTCTGTATGTATCTACGCGGTGTCGGTTTATTAAGCAACGAGAAAGAAATATTGTCCTACAGATGCTGATATGTGGGATTGTCCATGTTCGATGTGCATGACTGCAAATGAGCTCATTTTTGTGCTGTACGTTTATACCTATGTGGTTATCCCAAGATTACCGTATATGATATGTAAATTCTGCACATACATTTTCATATGCAGCAATTCAAATGCTCTACCTATGTCATTATCGGGAATTAATTAACCAGATGGGGAGAAGCAAAACATACCATGATACCGACGCAACTGAAGATCGTGTTTGTTGCCGTTGGAGGATCAGTGAGGCACACGCACGCGCCGGGATCCATACCGCCAACGGCGCCACCGCGCGAGCAGAGCGGAGATCTCGACGAATCCCCCCCGTACAGCAAGCCCAGCCACGGCCGCCGGCGACGCTCCCCGAGTTCCGAAGGCCGCTCGCCGCCACCGCGACAACCGCGTGGTCCCGTGGGCATCGAGTAGCCCCAGCACCGTGCGGCGCCTACCGTCCGCAAGCGTATCCCAAGGGGGCCCGGCCGGATGATGGCCGCCGCCGCCGGCGACGGCGGCGGCAGCCGGCAGGCATCGCCTCTTTCGCCGCGCACTGGGCCGCTTGGGGAAATCGAACTCTACGGCGAGGCTTCTGAAGCGAAAGGCTACGTCGGGCGTTCTTGGGCCAGATCAGGCCGGTTTAGAGGCGGCAACGCAATTTTGCTTGGAATAAGTTCACTCTAGGTCCCTTAAGTCAAAAATTTATCATTAAACCACAATAACAGATAAGTATGATACGTCCTCAACTCCGAAAACCAGTGAAATAAGGTCCTAAAACGGTTCGGAAGGTGATTTTAACTGACGTTGCACTTAAAGTTAAGAAAATACTATGGGACTCACATGTCAGCGAGTGTTATGTTAAAATTAAAAAAAATTGCGGTGGGCGCCGGCGGCAAGCCAGGCTTGCCATGCTCAGCCCCAGCTGCCGTTGCCACACTCTTCTTCTCGCTGGCCTCTGCATCCCTCTCGACAACGCCTCTGTACCCGAAGCTGAAGTCGTCCCGCTCCACGCCGTCCGCTGCCGATCAATTAGTCAAGTAGCAAGAACAGAGCATTATAAGCTCGCCGCCATATGCAACCACGGAAATACGGGTGCGAGGGAGGGTGGTGTGTGTTGTACCTTTACACGGCGAAGCGACGGTGATGCGGACTTTCTTGACAGCGATGCAGACCTAGATCTCAATATTTTTTTTTATAAAAAGTATAAAATTTTAACTCATCCTATTTTAAATGTAGGCCTCAAATTTAGTAGGCTAAAATATTATGTCCATTTCCACCATGCGTGCTCGCATGCCTCATGTTGGAGATATATAGCGCAACTCTATGGAAAATTGAAGGCAAGTAATGAAGAGAACAACTAGTAGAGATGGAAATGGTCAATTCACGATTATTTCTTAGCGTTGTTTTTTGTAATAATCAGGCAAGAAACATTTTCTTTAGAAAAAGATGCAGGAGGCACATATCCAGGCTGTAAAGACGACTGACAATATGGTCAGCTGGTAGTCCAGCCGAGAGCAACGTGTGCCATCGTTTGGGTTACTTGGCACTTTCGCACTCTCCACCATGGATGACAGATGTTCTCCGGTGTGGTCGATGTTGTCCGGGAATTGAAGTGGCGAAATACATAGCGACTGTGCCACTGCCACTGCCAGCCGGGCGCCGGCCACACCCGCCAGCCGTCTGGGATCTACGGTGGTTATGGTCGCGAGAGCTCGATCCAGCGGCTTTCGACGGTAGACTGTAGAGAGATCGATTGGTGTCAAACTGTCAATAATGAAGCAGTGGAGCGCTGGATCCTTGTGTCTCACTCAGTCATTAATTTGGTCTAAAGATTTCCAAACTGTCAATAATGTTCTGGGTCGCCAAGAACATCAAAATGTCGTGTATGCGACGATTAGTCTCGCTTGGAAAGACTTGGACGGACAACGGGTCGATGGAAACAATAGGACGCAAGGCACGATCAAAGAAGTTTCTTCTCGATCGAATTAACGCAGAGCCTACTTGAGGACGAGAAGATCATGATGTCGTCGTGGATATATACCTTACCATGGATACAAACTGCGTCCAATACTTGACGTCAACACGTTAAGTCCGCAGTCTTACCGCACTAACCACCAAATTAAGTGGAAATTAATTTGCAAGCTGAGAACGATGCCACGGACTAACTGTATCGTGCCAAACTATCAAACGACTCACGTTATACTACAATGTTTTGGAAACTGTTTTCATTCCATGGGAAGATATCCAGTCTTTTTTACATATCATTTAAACAGTTATCATTTTTTTAAAAAAAATGACAAGATTCTTACTATAAAACATATACCGCTCCACAAACTTGCAAACTAAAATTTAATTTCTATAAATTGTATAAAAAATATACTAACTACGAATATACGTTAATTATTTTCAGTTTATTTCATGTTTTTTACAATTTGTAGAAATTGATTTCAGTTTTGTATATTCATGGAGTGATATATTTTATATTAATCTGTATATGTTGTTAATTTTTTAAATTTAATAACTATTTAGAAGACATGGAAGAAATAAAAATCCATGCCCCAATGTTTATATAAACGATCGAACTCCATTCGTCCAGATCACCTCATGCATAACACATTACATGCATTTGCAAGCCATACGCTCTCTGTAATATGGATACCAAATTGGGAGCGCTTGCTCTCATGCTCCCGCTTCTACTGCTGATTTCCGCTACTCGCGTAGCCTACGGCGGCATCCAACCCACGCCGCCTCCCGCGAGCTTCCAAGCCGCCTTGGTCCGCATCGAGCCCGCAGGCATCAACTACACGCGCGCCGTGCAGCGCTCCCGCTCCCGCCTGTCCATGCTCGCCGCCAGAGCGGTGTCCAACGCGGGGGCGGCGCCGGGGGAGAGCGCGCAGACGCCGCTGAAGAAGGGGAGCGGCGACTACGCCATGTCGTTCGGCATCGGCACGCCGGCGACGGGGCTGTCGGGCGAGGCGGACACCGGGAGCGACCTCATCTGGACCAAGTGCGGCGCCTGCGCGCGGTGCTCGCCGCGGGGCTCCCCGTCCTACTACCCCACCAGCTCCAGCTCCGCCGCGTTCGTCGCGTGCGGCGACCGCACGTGCGGGGAGCTGCCCCGACCACTGTGCAGCAACGTCGCCGGCGGCGGCAGCGGCAGCGGCAACTGCTCCTACCACTACGCCTACGGCAACGCTAGGGACACGCACCACTACACGGAGGGCATCCTCATGACGGAGACCTTCACCTTCGGCGACGACGCCGCGGCGTTCCCGGGCATCGCGTTCGGGTGCACGCTCCGCTCCGAGGGCGGTTTCGGGACGGGCTCGGGCCTCGTCGGGCTCGGCAGAGGGAAGCTGTCCTTGGTCACGCAGCTCAACGTCGAGGCCTTCGGCTACCGCCTCTCGTCCGACCTGTCCGCGCCCAGCCCCATCTCGTTCGGCTCCCTCGCCGACGTGACCGGTGGCAACGGCGACAGTTTCATGTCCACTCCGCTACTCACAAACCCGGTGGTTCAGGACCTTCCGTTCTACTACGTCGGTCTGACCGGCATCTCGGTCGGCGGGAAGCTCGTGCAGATACCTTCGGGGACCTTCTCCTTCGACCGGAGCACCGGGGCGGGCGGCGTCATCTTCGACTCCGGTACCACGCTTACGATGCTCCCGGACCCCGCGTACACGCTGGTGAGGGACGAGCTGCTGTCACAGATGGGCTTTCAGAAGCCACCACCGGCAGCGAACGACGACGACCTGATCTGTTTCACCGGGGGGTCGTCGACGACGACGTTCCCGTCCATGGTGCTGCACTTCGACGGCGGCGCCGACATGGACCTGTCCACCGAGAATTACTTGCCGCAAATGCAAGGCCAGAACGGGGAGACAGCCCGGTGCTGGTCCGTGGTGAAATCATCGCAAGCCTTGACGATCATCGGCAATATCATGCAGATGGACTTCCACGTCGTGTTTGATCTGTCCGGCAACGCGCGGATGCTGTTCCAACCGCCCACCGCCTGATACGGGAGATTATGACCGTTGATTTTGTGCGCCGTATGTAGTACTAGCACTCTAGCAGTGTAGCACGTACAATTGTGCCGTAGCGAATAAGTTCTGCACAAATTATTTTCTGCCATCCGCGCTTAGTTGTAAGTACGCGAGCTTATGTAATAGTCTTCCAAGAGAAATTGAACGGGCATAATACTGCATGTACGGTTACAATATACTTATAAACATAAACGTTTAAACACATATATAGTATACCATATGATTAGTACTACTAGTTATTATTTTCCGGTTCTAATGTAAAAATACAAACGAAACTATAGAGAGTGGAATTTAAATGTAACTCTCGACGGACGTCTAGTTGTTTACATGTAAATTAAATAGTCATGATTTTTTTGCAAAAAAAAATATTGAAAATGTCTTAACAGTAATATATCTCTATCTCCATCTCTATATACTATTATAAAAATTAAAGATGTTTCCGTCAGACTTTCGACACGTCATCCATGTTAGAATCGGTTTTAATTTTATGTTTGTGTTAAGTCCTATCTCTTTTTCTTACGCCAAAGTGTCTATCTTATCTAAGACGTGCGCGATTTAATTGGGCCCCGCACCTTTTCACGCGTCCATTGCCGCACGCAACAATTGGGCCCGTGCCCGGGCCTGTTTTTCACACGCGTCTTTGCGTGCCATGGCGATTGGGCCCGCAACACCCTTGCGCCCACGATTTTGTCGTTTCTGCATGTCCGATTGGGACTGCGTCACCCTCGCCCGCGATTTAAAAATTGAAGATGTTTTTGCCGAAACTATAGTACGTCATCTGTTTCCGATTCCCGTCACGTGTAACATTCATTGCGAAGTCACGACTCGCGAGCGAACTACGAGAGAGAGTCCGTGTGGATATCATGTACGTCATTGTCCTAATTATCCGATTCTATTCGTATTACACGGCACGTATAATATGTTAGCATGATTTCAAGTCAGTCTCCACACATGCTCGTATGTACTACCAGGGCCGTTACAACGATCCATAAGAATACAACGATCCATAAGAATCAGTTTTACTTTCGAAAATAACATCCTAACTAAAATAAAGGATAATCGAAGTTGCAGATTCCGTCTGCCATTGATTCTCTGCCGGACTTGAGATAAAGCTACGCGATAAATCGAGCTCGTGTTTTGAGGCCTCATTGTTTGGCTTATGCTTATTCCTAGCCAAATTTTAAATTTTAGAACTTAATTTTAAAATTAACTTTTGATTTTTTTATCGTACTTTATTTTATAGCATTTGCTTTTGAGTCACTAAGAACATGCATATAAAAGATTTGCACACAAATAGGAGATGGATTCTAATCTCTCGGGTGGACGTCCACCCGTTTCTTGCATGCCACCTAAATGATTATAAAAAAATTTTCCAAAAATAATTATAATATAGGTTAATATGTAATGTATCATATCACAAATATGTAAGTTCAAATTCGACTTCTATAAGTTGTAACAGAAATAACAAATTAAACTCTAACTAGTATACACATATTCACAGTCCAATTTGTTATTTTTGTTACGACTTGTAGAAGTCGAATTTGAACGCATGTTTGTGAGATGATATATTACATATTAATCTATCATAATAATTTTTTTAAAAAAAATTATAACTATTTAGATGTTATGCAAGAAACGGGTCCACCCGAGTGTTTAAAGCAATTTCCCCCACACAAATAATCTTTTTTTTTAGTAAGTGATTCGAATAAGCACATGAATAAACGAAATAATGGGCTTTGATTATTTATCCACCGATACATATGTACAAATTAAATTGGTTCTAGCCATTGCAACGCACAGGCATCTTTTTAGTTACTCTAAAAAAATACAAGTTAAAATCCAACTTTTATAAGTTGCAACAAAACTAAATTTAACCTTGCAACATGTAAAAGTTCAAAATTGACCTTGCATGTGTTATGAAGTGATCTATCACATATTAATCTATCTAGTTAATTTTTAAAAAATATTTTTACAATCATTTAAGTAACATGCAAATAATTAAGGTCATCTGTTTTGACAAGATGAGGGCATGTTTGGGGGGCTTCTGACAGCTGCAACACTTCCTGGAATCAAAAGCTCTCTCACAAATAGTCTAGCTTTTCGTCCAAATTCTGAAAAGCTAGTTGTCGAATTTAAAGAAATGAGCTAGAATTTAGAAGGAAAGAAACACATATTTTTTAGATTTTCAAAAATTAGATACCAACCAGTAACTTATCAAAATCTTTTAACTCCAATTTAGTCATGGACACTAGTGGGCCTTGCAGGCTGCAGGTGCCGATTGTACGTACAGTACTACTTGGAATAAGTTCATCTAAGGTCCCTTAATTTGTCAACGAATCCGATTTTCGTCCTTCAACCAAAAAACCAATTACAATTGGTCCCTCAACTATCAAAACCAGTGCAGATGAGGTCCCTCAGCGGTTTGGATGGTGGTTTTGGCTGACGTGGCGTCTTCGTAGCTAATTTGACTTTGTCTTTATTTGACGTAGCATTGACATGGCGCTTACGTGGCAATGTGAGCTGGAAAATAATAAATCTCGTGGGACCCACATGTCAGTTTCACACAGAAATTAATAAAAAAAGGTGGGGCCCACGTGGGCCCCACCTGTCATTCTCAGCCCTCCTCTTCTTCCTCCTCTCCCCATCTCCCTCTCTCTTCAACTCTCTCCCCTCTCCTCTCTCGCGACGCGCGCGACGGCAGAGGCTCGGCTCCGGCGGCTATGGACGGAAGAGGTAGGGGGCGGCGGGAGGTGGACCTAGCTGCGGCGACCGGCGGAGAGGAACTGGGCGTCAGCAGCGGAAGCGGAGTCTCGAAGGCTGGCCCCCAGGCGATGCGGAATCGACAGCGGGAGCTGCGGGAAGACGGCAGCCGCTGTGGCCGCCCGCGCATGGAGGAGAGGTGGGAGCCAGAGAGCGCGAGCTCCTCCTCTTCCGCGACGCCACCGGCCTCAATGCTCGATCTCACCCTCCTCGCGGCGTTAGAGCTCCGTCTAATATTCTTGTCGAGATCCGGCCAGAGTAGCACCAAGCCCACGAGGCCAAGCTGGCCATCGTCCCGCCACAGCTCGATGAGACGATGGTGCTCCTCGATTGGTGAGCTCGAGCCGGCGGCCAGATGCAGAGCGGAAGAGGACGCAGAGCACGTGCTACGACAAGTCCGCCCGGCGGCCGGCTGTGTCCGGTGTTCTGTGTTCATGTGCGCTCCTCCATGGGGGAAGCCGCCCCGGTGTGGCGTGCAACCGCGGGGAAGAAACAGGCTTTCAATTTTTTGCAGCGGCTGCATTTTTCGCTTGATTTCGTGCTAAAATTTTCTGCTTGTTGGAATTAATGAATGGGCCTTAGCCCATTCGAAGATTAATTCTTTGGAAAATCACAAAAGCCCACCTCATGGGATGGCATGCATGTGGAGTTTAGTACCACCTTGCTTATTCTAGGAGAGGGGGACCTCCTTAAAAGGGAGGATGCCCTCCTAGCCACTTGAAGCATGTGTGGTGGAGAGAAGAGGGGAAACACGCGCGCTCGCTCGCCTGGCCTGGCAGGGCAGGGCAGGCGGCGCGCGTGCACGACGTACGCGTCGAATGGTCCGAAAAATTGGCTCCTCACCCTTGCGCAGATGCAGCCTCCTTTTGCAGTTTTGTTTTGCTGCAAATTCGGATTCGTTTTGTTTTGGAAACGTTCCGAAAAATCCGGTGCGTGCAAACGGCGTGGAGTCCGGATAAGTTACGCGCGACTTATCCGGTTCGGTTACGCGCAGTAGAGATCGTGCGGGCGCCCTGATCAAGCGACCCTTCTCTATATAAACCGACCCGCCGTCTTCACGCAATATATGCGAAAATCAATCTAGGGTTTGCCTCCTACTCTGTACTGCGCCGTCGCTCGTAGACTACTCCATCCCGCTCGCCGGCGTGCACCAGCGATCGGGAGAGCAGGTCTCCGGAACCTCTGCCTTTGACGTCCTGCACCGGGAGAAGGCGGCAATAAGGTTTTTGGGAAGCGCTTCGCGCGACTGCTCCCTGCTCGTTCGCGACGGCTCGCCTTCCTCTTCGCTCGCGTGTTTCGTGCCTTCGTAGACACCTGCGAAAAGTTTCGACCAAGCAGCCGGTCTTTTCGTCACCTCGGTACGTGTTCAATATGTTGCGCATATTTGATCTGTTCATGTTATTCTGCGTAGTTTACATGTGTAGATCTAATGATGCGTTCATGCTAGTTTTCATCTGTAATGTCATGATTTATTTATGGAATAAATTAAATCCTTATATGCCCATAATCTCAACAATCCAAAAACCTTATTATAGGCACTGTGATTTTACTATGGCTGGTTTTGCCGATGCACTGAGGCCGGATAAATTCACCGGTGTGCATTTTAAGAGATGGCAGATCAGGGTCACTCTGTGGCTGACAGCTATGAAATGCTTCTGGGTGAGTACTGGCAAACCTGAAGGAGTTCTTACTGCTGAACAGCAGAAGCAATTCGAGGAAGCCACTACTCTCTTTGTGGGATGCATTCTTAGCGTTCTTGGTGATCGTCTGGTCGAGGTGTATATGCATATGACCGACGCTAAGGAGTTGTGGGATGCACTGAATACTAAATTCGGTGCTACTGATGCTAGCAATGATCTGTATATCATGGAGCAGTTTCATGACTACAAAATGGCTGACAACCGTTCTGTAGTCGAACAGGCTCATGAGATACAAACCATGGCTAAGGAACTCGAACTCCTTAAGTGTGTCTTACCCAACAAATTTGTGGCCGGGTGCATTATTGCAAAACTTCCTCCATCTTGGAGGAGTTTCGGTACTGCACTCAAACACAAGAGACAGGAATACTCCGTTGAGGGGTTGATTGCGTCTCTTGATGTTGAGGAGAAAGCTCGGGAAAAAGATGCCGCGTCTAAGGGCGATGGTGGGCAGTCCAGTGCCAATGTTGTGCACAAGGCCCAGAACAAGAGCAAGGGGAAATACAAAGCTCAGCAGACCACCAACTTCAAGAAGCAGAAGAAGAACAACAACAATCCTAATCAGGATGAGAGGACTTGCTTTGTGTGTGGCCAAGTTGGTCATCTGGCTAGGAAGTGTCCACAACGCAAGGGGATGAAGGCACCTGCAGGGCAGACTTCTAAGTCTGCTAATGTGACCATTGGCAACACTGGAGATGGAAGCGGGTATGGTAATTTACCTACTGTTTTTTCAGTTAATCAATCTACTAATTGGTGGGTTGATACTGGGGCCAAT